TTTTCCTCCTAAGTGTACTTTAGTGTATGTATCCTAAAAATAAGAATGTGGGTTTTTTGTGTGTGGGATTTTAAATTAGTTTTAGGTGTACAATATAAGAACGTGCTTTTACGTAACCACAGTATAGTTACCAAATCAGAAGGTTAACACTGATAAAATTCTATTATTTAATCTATGGTCCTTATTAGATTTCACCATTTGTTCCAATAATGTCCTTCATAGCAGCAGAAAATCCTGGGTCATGCATTTGATTTAGTGATCATATCTCCTCAAATTCCTGTAATCCAGAGTTTCTCACCTTTGTTGTGAATGACGTTGACTTTTTGAAGAGTACAAGTCAGTTATTTTATAGAATGTTCCTTACTTTGAATTTGTTTGCTGTTTTCCCCATGATGAGGTTCAGGTCAGGCACCTTTGGCCAGAGTATCACAGGCATGTGTACTTCTTATGCATCATACCAGGAGGTGCATGTTGTCCCTTACTGGTGATGTTAACTTCGATCACTTGGTTAAGGTGGTGTCTGCTAGTTTTCTCCACTGAAAAGTTACTTTTTCCCCCCCCTTTTTAATCAATTCACATCTTGTGGGAGACACATTGAGACTCTGCAAGGAGCCTGTTACTCCTCAAACTGGTACCTACTGGTTTAGCATCCTTTAGAGTTCTTCTTGAATCTGTTACTATTGTGATGGTTGCCAAATGGTGATTTTTAAAAAATTTTATCATTTCTTCTCCATTTATTAATTGGCTTTTTTATGTGAGAGAGCATTTTCCTTTTCTCTCAGTTGTAAAATTTCTTCTTTTATTGACATTATATCTGTGTGTACTCATTGATTCTTACTGTATTCATTGGGTTGTAATTTCTTTGTCATTATTTATTTTGATGTTCTGAGTACCCCTGGTTGGTCAGTGGGAATTCCTCCAGGCGGACTCTGTGTCATTTTGACAGTTCTTCATCATTCTTTGAATGCTTTCTTACTTTATGGCTAACAAGATGTTCTAGTGTCATCTTGCACTTTCCTTGCCCCAGCTTGGAATTAGCTATTTCTTTAAAAGGAGAATCAATTTTGATCTAATCACCACAAAAGTCTGTCATAGAAAAGAAGCACATGCCAACAGGTTTCTGGCTTAAAAAAAAAAAGTGTTAAAGGATTACCAAAAGGGGCCCAAATGCTTGAGAACTAGTCTGTCAGCATTTTTGTTTTTTTTTAGTGTCTTACATGTTTTGTGCTCTTGTAATTACTGAATGACTTAAGAAATTAGACTGTGTTCTCCATTTGAGGAGAAGATATAGGTACTTTAATAGATTTGTTTTACTGTATGTGTATAATCTGAGTCTTGTTAATTCTTAGCTTCAGTCTCAATTTTTACAAATTACGAATTGATGTCTTTTAAAGAGGTTTTAGTAACTGAAATTTTGGCCTTGATGTGTTTTATCCTAGGTTGAAGAAAAATAAAGAACTACAGAAAGTTCAGGACATCAAAGAAGTCAAGCAAAACATCCATCTTATCCGTGCCCCTCTTGC